CCGCTGAACTAGCTAGATGCAACTGGCTGTTGCTTTTCTAAAAGCATTAGTACAAAGAGAATATAAACTGTCTCATAGAATTTGAACTTGGTTCACTGATTCTATTTCCTGTACTGTTAACCTTTCAGGCACCTACATCCTCACAATGAGTACAGCAGTAGACATTTAAAGTTAGAAGAAACAAGTTTTCATTGATACTAGTCTATGGTAATAATTCTCATAACTTTATTGAAGAAACAGTAATATTTTCTTGGTAATCACTTTGCTGTCAGCTTTCTTGCTTCATATAAATGTTATCTTCTATCAATACCAAATGTAAGAGTTTATGACAAAATGTACATTCATAGAAAAGAATAATTTTTACCTTGTTATATGAGAATTCTTAGAAGAAACACATATTAGAAACAGTGGAGGTTCCTTTTTATACTACAGCATTTCTAAGATTGGATCAAGATGCCAAGAAAAAAGTGGCAACCAAAATGCTGACCAAATTGTTGGAAGGTTTGGTTTAAAGAAAACACAATCAAAATGCCAATGTCTTTATGACAATGCCAAAAGAAGCTCTTGTTACTGTTCTCTGGAGAATATTGGAATTATTTCCCTAATGTTACTTTCAATGATGTCTACATTCTTCAACTAATTTATTAAAACTGAAAGTGATGGAAACAATTCTCAGGTGGCTTAAGATTATGCTAAGAAAATTCCCCTTGGGCCAGTTTTTCGCTATAAGATATCCATAAAAATTATTTCTTCTGCCCTGATGCAGATATTTTCTGGCAAGAAAATCATTCTTATTTTGTTGCACATAAACATTCTTGTGTCAAGATTAATATTGCTATGCAGTGTTTTAATTTAAAAATGACTCAAGAGGTTTGACAATATTTCTTATTTTGAAGTATTTGTCTTGACATTTTTTTGTTCTTTTTCTTTAAGATAGGATTTTATTCAGTGCCACTAAAAACAACTTTAAACTGTATTGAATGATAATTGTGATAAAATACCATTTTTGAGTTTTTTAAATTATATTTCAACATTAAAGGACGATAATGCTTATATCTATCTGGGATGAGGAGTTATTTACACTATTTACATTTAGACTACAGTCCTCATCTTTATCACAATGTTTCGTTCATTATACCTTCTGCCCTTCATCAGCTGTATATCAATCTGTCTGAAATGTACAGTTTTCTTTATAAATTCAAAATTTTATAAATTTCTGTCTCAATTTCTGGGATGAGGAGTTATCATTATTTACACTATTTACATTTGGACTAGTGTCCTCATCTTTATCACACCATCCTGGGTATGATGATAAACTACATCCGTGTCCAGGGTAAGACGATAAACTACATCCAACAGCAAGGCCTCTGATCAGAATGTTTTGAGAAGTGTGAAACTACCACTTAATTGCTGGTGTTCCCAGATCTACTCTGACTCAGGGTGGTAGCACCTGTTAGGGTCCCAGCTATGGGCAAATAGTTAACCCCCAAACTGGGGTCAAAACACTATGAAAGTGTAAAAATAGCTTTTAATACCAGAAATACTTTGCAAAAAAAAAAAAGTTATTACCAGCAATAAATTTTTGAAGAAAAAAATTATTACCAACTATACATTTGAAAAAAATAATATTACCAGCAATAAAAATTTTGTGGGCATTGAGGTTGATATGCTGTAAAACAAAACAAACCAAATCATCTTTATCACAATGTTTCAGTCATTGGCCTTCATTAGCTGTATATCAATCTGGTTAACCTGCAGAGGATTCTGAACTGAACCCTTTATTTAGAATATTCTTGTTCTAACCATGTCTAGGTATATCTTGTTCTTATTTTTAGTACTGCTCAGTCATTGCTCACCCTGTTTCCACTGAGACCAAGTATACAGTGCCCAGGCCAGGGATTGAACACACAATTTCTATATCACTAAATTCACAAACCAACACCAGGCTATTGTCCCATAGGACAAGTCTATATGGAGAACTTGGAGCCTTAAGCCTAATCTGCCTGTCTGCCAATGAGGGCTGCTCTTTGTGAATTAATCATGGAATGAGAACTGTCTATCTCCATAGATTGAATAAAGGGTTCAGTTCAGAAATCGACAAGGAAGGCTGGAGAGCATAATGTCCAAAACATAACACCAAAGATGAGGACAATAGTCCCAATGTAAATATTGTAAATAATCAAAATTTTATATTTTACCTATTCATTCCTCTGCAACTACTAAATGCCTAAACTTTCGTAATCTAGACACTTGTCTTTCGTAATCTTTTTTAAGCTAAATATATTTTCAACATTTTTTTAAATATATTTTTTATATATTAATTTTTGCTGGTTTTTATTGATCAGTTTAGCTCAATAGAAAAACTTCCTGCACTAAACAATTCTCAATAATCTCCCTCCATTTTCCAATACTTACAATGGATATAGCAGACATTTTTACTGTCAGTACCTTGGCATATAAGGTACTCATTTGCAGATGAGTTGTTCAGTTACTCTTTTCTCTCTCTACCATTTGTGACAACACCAAGTTATCAGTGAGACAAAACACAGGGAGAGTTAGACACATGCCTTCCCTATAAGCATTAATGAAAGTGAGGGGTCTCAGTGATAATTTGCTGATTCCATTTCCAGTGTTGATAACTGTGACATCATTGTACACTGATTGAGATTTCTGAAAATCTCTTTTTACTAACACTCTTCTCTACACTGGCTGCTTGGTCAGCAGATGCCAAATGTTTCCTTATAAGGGTTATAGACAAGCGTATGGTTGCAAGAAAGAAATACAACAGCAGAAATAGATTTATGGGATTTATTTCAATAGGAACGTGTGGTTTTGGGACAGCTACCTTGTGGTATAGTTCATAAGCCAGCTGCCGACCTGGGTAGATCTCTCATAGTAGTTCTTGCTGGTTGGCATGGTGCTACTGCAGCTGACTGCTCAGACCGACTGTGACCGGGGTCACATGGGGAAGTACAACTGCTGTTGTACTTCCCCATGTGACCCCTTTTATGGCATTTTTTATGGCTTAAAAGGCTCGAAAAACGATGTGAGTATAATTAGGAGGGAAGCATTTTATTGGTATAAAAATAGAAACACTTTAAAATATTATCTTATTTTTTTGACCAGAACTCGTGTAACGGGCTTATGCGTAGACGACGATAACGGTCATTTTGTGACGGGGCCTTGTCCTGTTCACATCTGGCTCTCGCTCTTAAGTATGTTAATTTATTTGCCTGCAAATCAGCCGAGATATATCTTATTTTATAACATAAGGAAACTGCTAATATTGCAGAAATATATAATCAGTCCTATTAGATGGGTTATTAAGAATGGTAGTCTTTATTTGATTTGTATCCCTGGGAGTGAATCAAGCTGATCAGTATATGACCCACCATTTCTTATCTAGTTCTCACCATTTTCTAAAGAAAAGACACCTTCTTTTCTGGGCTGATATGCCATAAAACCCAACCAACCAACCTTCTTTTCTATTTATACTTTCTATATGAAAAAAAATCGAGAATGGATTGTGTCTGTGTAGGTCAAATTGTTAAGTATAAAGTGAGTCAGTCAGTTATAATTCCTACCATTTCTTTTCTATTTGCTACCATTTGCTGAAGAATTGAGACTGCTCTGTTTCTTTATAGACTTTCTATATAAAAGAGACAATAGAATGCATTGTGGCTGTGTAGTGCTCATATCTGGGAAAGTGCCAAGTCAGTCAGTGTATTAGCCACCATTTTTCTAAAGACAAGAGATTCTCTCTTTATGGACTGTACACTTGAATTTACAATGAATTTTCTTACATGTGCTAATAAAGAAAAACTATATCACATATAAAGAATGTATTTAATAGTGTGAAAAATTCTTGTAATTATGACTTTCTCAAGAAATTTTTCCAGAAGAGTGTACGTAATTCTCTCAAGTAGTCTACAAGCTCATGTCTCAAAGTAGTGGATTGACCTCTAAATAATTTACTGATAAGGCAGGTATATTTATACAACTGTATATCTTTATGAATTATATCATTGATGGTGGACAAAGAAGTAAAGTCTGACAGTTGCCAACCCAAAATATTGGCATCTTGGTTTGGTTTGTTGCTTTAAATCTCCCAACCACAACACTTGTAGCCAAATCACAGTTCAAACAATAGTACGTCGTAACAGTCCAACAGGCAACCTAGAAACGACAAAATTGGGTCACAAATCCAACCTTCACTTTTCGCCAACCAAGCTCAGAAAAGATCCTAACCTCATAAGTGAAAAACAACGGCTTTTATTCACTGAGCAATATTTCTGATTGGCCACACCATTCAGGGGAGGAAAGAACATTAGTATAGATTCTGATAATTAAAGTAGTTTTTTAATAACTACTTTCGATAATTTTTCTTTGGCAGATCCCACACAAAACATGAACACTTTTTCAACTTAGGTAATTATCTCTTTACCTACATGACCAAAATTCTCAATAAAGTTCTTGGTTTGGTTTGTTTTTTTTTTCATGGCATATCAACACCTCAATGGGTTATTTAATACTGATATGATTTTTATTGTTGATATTTTTCCTTCAAAAATTCATTACTGGCAATAATTTTTCCTTCAAAAATTCATTACTGGCAATAATTTTTCCTTCAAAAATTCATTACTGGTAATAATTTTTTTACAAAAATGTATTGCTGGTATTAAAACCTGTTTTCACACTTTCATAGTGTTATGATTCCTGTTTGAGGGTTAACTATTTGCCCATAGCTGGGATCTTTAACAGGTGCTACCACCCCAGATCAGGGTGGACCTGGGAACACCAGAAATTAAGTGGTGGTTCCATGCTCTTGAAAACCTGATCAGAGGCCTTGCTGTTGGATGTAGTTTACCCAGGATGTGGTTGTATTTTTTCGTTTTACCCAGGATGCATAAAGGTTTTGTCAAACATACAATTCCACAAAAGTTTTGTAAATTTTGAAATCATGAAGTTGACACTTAATATTTTTTTGTTTCATCTTTCAGATTGCTCCAAAACAGTTCTTGCCAATGAACGGTGGGGTGGCTTCATACAAAGCCCAGACTATCCACTTAAGTACAAACCAATCACCCATTGTGAATGGAATATAATAGCCCCTTCAAATTCCAGCAGAATCTTGTTACAGTTCACAGTATTGAAGTTAGAAGGCCAAGGCAATTCTGACCAAATTGAAAACAGTAAGTCTTTGAACTTTCCAATTGTGTCATTTGTAGTAAATATCAAAAGAAATGGAAATTCTTTGAAAACTCATACACTTAAATTTTGATATAAATTAATCTTGAAGAATTTGTCTTGTTTTACAAAGAAAATTATTTTTGAAGATATACATAAAAAATTTTTAAATCAAATTTAGCGTTGGATTGCTCTGTATTCTCTCATTTGATGTAATTCTGTTGCTAATGTCCAATATTCACAGATGTACAGAAAGACTGAAAAGGGCATTGCATGCAAGAGTCGGATCTTTGATTTCAAGCAAATGTATTAATGCAACTACAGCAAATTTTAAACAATATATTCGTCCATAACATAATGATGAAAAGCATTTATTTTATACACCACAAATTTACAACATAATTTTCTTACTTTGCAATGCACTTAATTATTAATCATATAAATCAGACATTGTACAGTCAATTTCAGATGAAAAATGCAATTAACAATTAACCAACCCTCATTCCTCTCTCTAGATATATGTGTGTGTGTGTGTGTTGTATACAAACACATAGATTAAGAAAGAAACTAGTCCAGGCAAACTACTGTGCATAATAAAAATAAAAAAAACAAAACATCTGCTCTTGAAAATGGTTCTGTATAACATGATGTAATCTTTTTGATTTCAGCCATCCATTTTCAGAATTTAATTAGAAGTAAATTATCTAGAAAAAATAACTTCTTGACATATCTTATAATTCAGTGAAACTTTTCTGCTTTTGTTTCATTAAATCCTTGAATTTCAGGATTAATTAACCTTCATTCCATTAAAAGATATTTCTTAATACTATAGAAAACACATGCACAGGAACATGAACTTAGCTGTGGTGACAGATATTTCTTTATGCCCAGCATTGTAATATATGTTTATAACTATAGTTTGTTTTTTTTTTCTGTTTATCTATATTTATGCAAAATATATTAATTAAGAATAAAATTAATTAAAAGCACTATGGAATGTCATTTAATAATCATACTTAATATATGTCATATTATCATTTTTGGAGAATGCATCAGCTTCCACAAAAGATTGACTTTTTGATTCATAGAAGCAGAATTCTATAAATTTGCTGAGGTTTGTTTAGCAATATCTGAGCAAATTCACTCCAGTCGCAAATTCCCAAGATAGCCTTTCTTACTGTCATACTAGAGTCACTGTCTTTCCATAAATTGGTGGGCTAAAGAAGGAGGACATTTATATTCAGATGTCTACAGTAGTTCTTTCTTTATTTCAATCAGTCCTGACATAATAAAATATCTTTTTTCTAAAAATGGATATCTTTTGAAGTTATTTTTTTAAATATAAAATTTAACTAATTCATAATCTCCTGTCATATTGCTTAAATATGATTTTAAACAATTTACAACCATATAAGCCAGTGTTTCTCAATCTATTTTACTTCAGAGCACATTATTAGAATAGCTAAAATTCTATGGCACTCTTTAGATTTAATAAGAGAAACTTAGTCCTGAAATTTGAAAATAGGTAAATAATAAAGAAGTCTCCTGAAATAAGTATTTATTTTAAGACATTAAACTGTATATTTAAGCAGTATAGTTTTCATTTTAAAAAATTTATGAAGAGCTAATTTTTTTTTTTTTTAGAGAGGCTGATAATGACCGATTTAAATGCCTTGAGGAAGGCAAAAGGGAAAGGATTATCCACTTCTTCTTAAAAATTAAGGAAATTAGCATCCAGTTTAAAATATCAAATGACAAAGGCTTAGACATGGAAGCCATGTGCTTATTGTCTTTAACTTTTTCAAAATAAAGATTTTTAAATATAAAAATAATTCATAAATTACTTTTCTGTTAACTTGGGGTGCACATTTCAGGTTAGTTGCTTGGACACACTAGATGAGAAACGTTGATCTAAGCAATTATTGTTTATCTTTGAAATTTGAATAAAGAATCATCATTATTTCATTATTTCTGATTAAAACTTTAGCACGGTATACTTCAGATCATAATGAATATGGTCTGAGAGAAAATGCTGATTGGTTGTTTGGTAGTTGACCAGGGAGGTATGCACTTGAGATTAGCATTCTGATTGGCTGAAGGCAAATTATCAAGAGGCTCTGAAGAATTAAGATATCAAAGATAAAAAAAACTCTTTATTCCGACAGTCAGCCCTGGACTTCAGATCATTTAATCAGAGGCTACATAAAATATAGTCTGCATTTGTCACTCTGTCAATGTCCAAGCTACTGTGGTCAGTTTAGGAACAGACATAAGAAAAGATACACAATATGATAGATCTCCACACATTTTGTACATTTTATCAGCCATCACACAAATACAAGAGATATACTTTTTTATACATGTTTGCCTTGTACTCTAGTCATGAGTGTCATCTGTTTGGCGATCCCAAATTTGACAACCTGGATTAGTGGAGCAAAGGTCATCACTCTAGCAATGTGGCTAATCCAACAGTAATTGCTACAGACATCAGTAGAATTAGTATCCTGTTACATAACATTCTGAAGACAAATATCCCAGAAAATGAGAATCAAATTTTAGATCGAATTGTTTCAGACAATGCACATGATTCGAGAAAACTGAGATTCAAAATTTTGCATCTGAATACAACTAAAGATTACTTTCCATAAGAAATAACTTTGAATCTTTATAAAAAGTCAGAAAGCTATTTTCTTCGGCTGACCTCTTAAATTTAAGATGTTATTTAATTTTCCAGTGAAATGGGTTTAGGTAGCCACGATTTTTTAATTGAATTCACCCCATGCATGGTAGTAAAGCCACTAAAACACAAGGGGTTACTGGGTGTGAAAGAATTAGAAAACAGAAGCACTATTAAGGAGCAAGAATAATAAAAAAAGGAATCAGTAAGACGGTAGATAACGATTGACATTGCATTTAAATTTTTGAGTATTAAATTTACTTGAAAGTAAGAAAATGGAAGACTGTTCCATAAATGAGAAGTTCAATAGAAACTATTAGCATAGAAACTACAGTTACCTCTAACCATTTAAACTGTAAAATAACGAGACCTTGTTGCTAAACTAGTACTACGCTTAAATTCATAATGTCTATGTACCATAACAAAGAGCTCATCCAAACAATTGCCATGAAAGTATTTATAGAAAAGAAACAGGAACAATACATTATGGCAGTGGAGAAAGTTTACTGATGCCAAGATGCCAGGTCAGGACCAATATTATTGCTGATTTGTTTTGGATTTTATCAAGAATCTCTAAATATATAACAGGAACACCAGACCATATGTTTGTTGTCCAGAAATAAGTAGAATTCATAATTATTTTATTCTTGAATCTTGATAAATTAGTTTAGTAAAGTTCTTGATTTCAGTTTGAACCCTTTCTACCTAAACTCAGTTACAACATACTGAAAATTAATGTGTTTAGTAAAAAACATTTATAAGTACTGAAAAAGAAAGAAAATGGATAGGGAGAGAGTGTAAAAAGACTAAGAAATGATGAAAAGGAGAAACAGCTATGACATCTGACACATACGTCCATGCACAAAAAGAGAAAAAAAGAAATCAACCCAACACCAATAATAAGAACATCCGATCCAATGCATAAATTAATTACTTCAAACTTAGTATAAAGATAACAAAAAATGAGAAAAACAGAAGTCAATTGGTGAAATCTCCTGAAGAGTGGACTGAACAATTACAGAAGAGTTTGTCTAGAAAACTCTGGAGTTGAGGTGCTGAATATAACCTCAATCAGCTAAGTGGTAAATTTTATTTGTATTAATCCTTTTATATATATATATATGTTATATTGCGTGCTAAGGGAATAAATACTTAACACCATGTGGATAATAGAAGAAAGGTTTATTGTACACAACCAGTACAATATGAAATACGGTACAGTTATACACACAGGTCAATCTAGTAGTGAGTGCCACTAAATTGGAAGGTCGGATGTGCTTGTGTCATCTTGCTCTCATTCTTCCCAAAGTGTCTCATAGACGGTTGACTTTATAGGTACTTACTACCTATAGTGTAATCATTCATGGGGGTGACTGATTATTCCATTACATCAATATATATGTCTGTGTGTCTGTATAATACCAAAAAGAAATCTCTTACTCCCATTCATGAAAAATACAATAGAAAAGCTTAACAGAAGTACCTTGTCAGTCATTTTTAATGAAACCTGTATTAAAGAAGGATTGCTGCCAAAATACACTAATCTCTCTCTCTACTTTTATATAATATGCACACTGATGGAAAATATAATTGCAACACTCTGAATATGTTTCAGATTACACAAGATTAAGCAGACATGAATTATATTAAATCATCAAATATACAAATCAATATGTGTGCAATTTGCAAAATAAGGAAGGTATTAATATACTGTATATCCTCTTTGGCCTTTAATGCAAGCCAATACTTTCACAAGGATATAATCATAGAAATGTAGAATAAAACCTTACAATACATTATTCCTTGCCTCTTGCACCTGTTGATACAGTGTAATAACAGGTGGTTTAACTGAAGGAGTCAGACATAATCCCATCATATCTCATATATCTTTAATGAGGCAAAATTCATCATACAAATGCATATTATCCTGCTGGGAGAACACATCACATTCCTGTTGCAGAAAACAGAAGTAGAACAAGTTGCATAATGGATGTATATGGTGCTGCTTGATGTTCTCTCCCCAAATACTAGTGAGCACCCACATCATGATGGCAAATGTTGGACCTGCATGTCATGAGTGAAACTCTGGATGCTGTAATTCATAAAGTGTATCGAAACACTGATATAAAATCAACCTTTTTTGATCTCATGAGAATGCCAAAAAATATAACTAAATATAACATTGTTTGTTATGCAGGTTACAAAGGGGTGTATTCCTTGGTGACACACCAGGCTGAGGTAAAAAAAATCTTCTACTGGTAAGAAAAGGTCTAGTCAACCACCTAACATATCAACATCAACTACAAAATCAAAATAAACAAAAGAAGT